GGTGTTGTGAGGAGGTGCAGCCGTGGCTGTGCGGTTACGGTGGGTTGCATGGGGCTTAGGCTACCGCTAGTGCTGCTGCTGCTGCTACTGCTGCTGCAGCCGCGAGAGGCTGGGCACGACCAGGAAGATGCTGGAGGCTGTACACGGTCCACAGCGGGCTGTGGGACGTAATAAGGTGCAGGAGACACTCGCGGAGTGGGTAACCGCTCCCGGACCTCGGTGCGCATGATCATGGAGTGCAGGATGTCGGCGCGGCGCATGGCGTCCTCGGAGATCTTGGATCCCTCGAGCAAGGTGCGAGCGAGAGTGGAGTGGGAGGCAGCTAAGCTCGGCGAGCTAAGTGTTGACGCCAGAGTGGAGGCTAAGGTGGCGTGCGTGGCAGCCAGAGAGGAAGTCTGGTGGTGCGGGGGCTGCGACAGCGTCTGCTCCAGGAGCGAGGAGGTGGGCTGGGAGGAGTGGGGCTCTTCTTCCCGACGTTGCGGACGGAACTTTTTATGGGGCTTGTTGTAGGCTTCTCCATGAGCAGATCCGTGTTGATGATGGGGGGCGCCTGCAGGGGCGCGGCGCAGCACTGGCATGTCGTCCTCGCGGTCCTCCTCGCTCTTCTCGTCAATGGACGACCGCGGGGAAGAGCACACCGACGGGGAGGACAGCTTGTCACTCCTGTCGGTCCCACTCTCGATTCCCGAGTCGTCGGGGCTTTCCGATTTTCTTTTGCTGAAGGGGCACTTCAGAGGAGATTCGGACGCCTCGTCGCCCGAGGAAGCACCTTCGGAGTGGTCGTGGCGCCGGCGGACGAGGGGGAAGGGAGGCCGGAGCTCCGTGTAGCCGGACACTTCGCTTCCGCACAGCGACTCGCCGGAGCTGGCGGACTCGCCGGAGCAGATGGATTCGGAGCACGACACTGGGGAGCGCATGGCCTCGTCGGCGGTGTAGGAAGATGAGGGGGAGCCCACGCTGCTCTCTGTTCCATGCTCCACGAGGAGCGGGAGTCGTCCCAGGGAGCGCCGGCTGCGGTGTGCTCAGTCATCTTGTATTTGAGCAACTTCTCTGAATGCAGCGTGTTGAGAGTCCGCAAGTCGGGGATCTTGGAGAGGAGGTCGCGCTGTAGGCTGGGGTTCTCGGGGGTGATGCTTGGTCACAACGGCCCGCAGGCAGTTGATGAGGCGCCTCTGCACGCGATCCACGAGCTCAGCATTGCAGGCCCGGGGCGGGGGACAAACACAACCACGGCGCAGAAGAGAGCCAGCTCAGCGTCGCTAAGGGAGAGGCTGTTGACGCGTTCAGCGAAGTCGAACATCGAATCCATGAGGAAGCGAGCGTTGACTGAAGTGTGCAGTGCCTCTCGGCGCAGCAGCTGACCGTTCAGGCACAGCATGGTGTTGGTGCGGGCGTCGAACATCCCCGCCAGACGCACCAGGAGCACCTCGAATACGCCTGCCTTCAGGAGTGTCACCTGGTCTTCCTGTGGCAGCTGTTGGAAGCCTGGCAGACGTTTGGCAAATTCTACGACGCCGCGGATGGCGGGAGAGAAGCGCTCGCTGAAGTCTTGCACGAGCTCCTGTTGACCCTGCAGGGGCACTGGCCGAGGGTTCAGTGGGCACGCCTGTGGAAGAAGGAGAGAGAAGGTTAATTACATGTTACAACCATTATTGATGTGTGCAATGTGAAAGTACCATATATATTTCATATAAGCCTAACCTAACTCCCAGCCTCGTCTTCAGCCCCGCCATCTAGCCCTACTAATGCATTCTGGAACTATGAGAAAAATTCACCCCTGCCCGAGAAAACTGCAAGTCACCCCTGCCTAAAATGTTCAGTCAATGCTGTGTAGCAAACTGACAGGTGTTCACGTGATCACTCAGAACAAATCCCGCCACAGGAAACCCAATACCTTACTGGTTTCATCGAGATCCTGCACTCGCTACTACCGACGGGATCGATTAATAAAAGCCAACCTTGGACGCAAATGCACACTCGAGCGCGGTCCGGTCACCACGGTCTGAAGCACTAGACGGCGCCGGTCGCCACCGAGGCATCTAATCGATTGAGATCATAAAACATCCTTGTCGCCTCCGAAATCGGGGTACGTAATTCGCCCGCTCAAGTTTTAAATGAAAATAAATATAAATTCGTCCGTTACAGGCGTTATCTCCCTCACATTTTCACCTGCCCCCCCCCCTCTCCTTCCGCGCCGTATTAAGCGGAGTCACAAGGTTTGCAGATGCCCTTCAAATACCCTCTGATAACCCAGTGTTTACGCCCGTCCTTCAAACAACCTACGATAACCCTTGGGAGGGAGGGAGGGGGCAGAACAGGAGGGGGTGAAGGTGCAGCAAGCTCCCTCGCTCGCCGGGTTGATCTCTTAACCGAACGCCGTCGATTCGCAAACCGCCAAAATTTGAAACTGAAGCGCCACGTGGTGATGCCACACTGTGCCCTCATGCAGCGGGTGACGCCGCCCAGATCACCGCGACCTATCAGACCTATATAGTAATTATTAGGGTGATTGGTTTCATCTACAGCGTAACCCGCAGTCCCAGCTCCCCCTCCCCCTCCCCCTCGCATGCCCTCCACCCTTGCCAACAATGTATCCCGAGGAGCCAGACGGCGCCGGGTTAAACCTTTCGTGGATCTTTGTCTCGCCCTCGGCCGCCTCCCTCCAGTGCCGGGATCTCTGCGGCTTTCTGCAGCGCCATGCTCGGCTTCCTCCAGACACCGAGTAAGGCGTGCCACGTGGCCGGGTATGTTAAACGTTTGCTGGGCGTTATACATAGTAAAGGTCGGAATACGCGGCAATATGTGAGGAATTTGCACGTGGGCCGCGTCTTTACCAGCTCGACCTTGGCCACGACTCGCTCCCTCCTTTCTTCTCTCATCCTTGCCCCGCTCAGTCACATGTTTGGCAAATGAACAGCGTTTCGGTAACTCCACGTCATCACCCAGCAATCTAGCCAATAAGACAGAGCTCACAGTGAGCCCAAAACGTAACCAAACAACATAGGCGTTTGTAGTTGCACCAACGCCTTCCCTCTATATCTCCCCTTCCTTTAATACCCCCCCTTTCTCCCCCTGCCTCCCTCCCTCTGATCACCCTTTTCCCTTCCCCTGCAACGCCCAACGCCCAGGTCACCCAGATGCCCTTGCCCACGCCACCCGCCAGAGGGGGAACAGAGGAAATTGTTGACGGTTTACCGCCAGCTAAACATTTGGGGTTTCCATTGTCCTACAAATGGAACCACCGGCGGTGATTTTGAAAGGGAAAACTGTTCGTGGCTGAGCTTGTGGCCTTTGAATTTATCAGAATTATTTTATCTATTTGTTCATTGTTTTATGTAACTGGAGGTCATAGTGTCTAGTGATGAGGGCCTCGAACACACATTTGCCTGTTTATTCGCCCACTTTTTATCATTTTGGACCTATTTTCGTGGAGCTGGCAATGGGGGAGAAAAAATGAATTCGCCTGGCATGTTCTATGACTGGTTGGCAAAGGCGCCGGGTGTTTGGAGGGTAAATTTGGCGGGCTGAGTGACCTTGAAAGAGCGCGGGCCTCACCAAGGCCGCTCTTCGAATCCAACTTACTAGTATTTTAGTTTGACTAAAGGCCGCTTCTTTTTTCAAAACAAAGATTGCCATCATTAAATAATCCATATTTCGGAGGCAATTTAACTCATGACTCACGAGAATAACGCAGAATAAATAAGATTCCCGCGTGAATAATTGGAGAATATGGCGAAATGTGGACACTCGCTCCCCCAGCATCGACCGTACCGTGAGACTTACGTCAACTTCAGCGGTCGCCACACCAGCCGTCAATTTCTGCCCTTACTTCGTATTACCCTAAAATTAAATTCACTTAGACATAATTAAACGGTCTGGCAGATGACAGTTGACCTAATACGAGCTAATTATGCAAGCAAAGGCGATCGGCTGTGCAGAGGTTTTTGCGGAAGCCCCAATGAATGAAGACAGGTTTTCCACCAAGGGGAAGCCATAAACACACTCAGACAGGCCTCGCGAATGTGTATAATTAAGAGAGTTGGAGTAAACCAAGGTCGGGAGGGACAGGTGAGGGATGAGCCCACGTGCTAATTACGCCCATGATGGCAGCTGCGTGTCACGGGTTCTTGTCCGGGATGCAGGCCAAGTGGGATTCGCCTTAAATCGCCACGCTGTATTCTTCATTCGAAACCTCCATTTCCGTAAAGTCATGAATCGTGATAAGAATAATAACCAACTATACTTATTAATTTCCCAACTATGAATATCAGGGAAGTCCCTTGTGTGATAGAGCTCCTCCCATTGAATTTCCCCTTTTCAGGGAAGCTCCGGCAACACGCCCTTCCTGAGGAAATCCCATTGCAATACGCGGCGCACGGTGGGGCTGCCGTGGCGACCAATAATAACATCGAAGGACATCGTTATGCCTTCTTATCTCTTACACAACCCAAGCGCCCCTTATCTCCGGCGAACACGGCGCACAGTTCCCGCCCAAAAACGTCTTTGTGTGGCGCTGCAACACCCCCCACGTAGGGAGGGGAAGAAGGGCGGGAAGGTACAACATCTGGGCGAAGAGGAGGAGGAGGAGGGGGAAGGGAGGGCTATGTCTCATGCTGTAAATGAAGAAGGGTTCAGGATACCATGTGGTAAGAGAGAGAGAGAGAGGGGGCAGGCGGGTAATGAGGGAGAGGGAGGGTGAATTAACAGCTTAAAAGGTAGAGAGTAAAAAGAGCGGCCAGATGTGGAGCTCGAGGGTGAGGGTGAGCGTGGGGAGGGGGGGGGGACAGGGCCTGATAGGGGGCACACACGGGAGCTACCACGTGACTTGTCCCTCCTTTACGTAACTTTACCCCTTCCTCCCCTCGCCTCTTCCTTCCCCTTCTCCCCTTTCATCAGCTGCTTAAAATGGACTGTAAGAATCACCCACGAGGTCTGTTATTAACATCACTAATACCCTGGGCGTATTCCCCACGCGGCATGCCGGTATATCCGTATGTTGAATTTTTTCCCTGTTAAGTTTTGAAATTATATTCAGAGTCACGTCGGGATATCACTGTGAGGATCGGCTAAAACCATCGGGTTCCATTGTGCAATCGGGGCCGCGCGGAGGGAGTGCAGGGACAGTTTGTGTAGGTGCACGACGTCCAAAGGTGAGTTTTCAAGGGCGATATGGCGACCGGCACATCCCACACATGCAACCTTGAATTCCCTGTCGCCAAGTGTCAATCAGCGATAGCTGCTTTTACTTTTTCACCGTCTCAATCCTTTCACTTTCTGACGTTATCTTGCTCTCCCTTTTATCGCTGAGGCCCTAAAAATGGGATTTGCTTCCGCCCCTCGCATGCCCTCCCGGCGGCGACACACGGATTTAATTCTTAATGAGGTGGCGGTGCCGTCCCGCCAGCAGGTCGGCCGGGGCTCCGTCTCGCCGCCGACTTCGCAACCTTGGCCGTTTCCGACGCGCATTTGCTAATTCGGAAAACCTGGTAAACTACCCGTGAGGCTGCATGAAGATTCACCCTCACGCGCGCTCTTTAACATTGCAACCTCATTAGCCTCATGATCCCTGAAAGAGACCATGATTGTGATAAGGACCGACTTAAAAAAGTGAAAACAGACGCGAACGTAATTCCCGCGCCCCCTGTGTTTGCGACGGCGATGGAGGGCGGAGGGAATGGAGCTTTGTTGAAGAGGGAGGGAGGGTGGGGGTAGGGGGTACCGACTGGGCTCAAGTACGCCCTCTACGCGACCTAGTCCAAGGTTACGTGTGACGTCACCCGGGCCAGGGAGCCACACGCGCACTCACTCACACGCATACATCGCAGCCAATGCTTTCCCTGGCATTTCCGTATTAAGGAAGCCGTCCGAAATTAGCACCGGATATTCTATACCGGGAACTTAAACGTTCTGACGAGGGCAGCAGACTCGACGCCCTTCGCGGCGAGACGAAAGGATAAACGCAAGCATAACGACGTGAAGCGTGTGTTACAGATTCGTAAGATCTTGTTTCAGGTTTCGGACTTAACGCGTTATGTCACCGAAAGAAGTCGTGACGTCAGAGTAAATCCACTCACGCGAGGAATCTCAATAAATTTGTCATCCGTTTCTATGGCTTCCCATATTTCCCCGACTGCCGTGCATGTAGACTCACCCGACCCCATTCAGATCGCATTTAAAGAGCCTGAAAACTCGTTCATTATTTTCTACCGTGAGGAGAATAATGGTGAGCGGGGTGGGGGTGCCTACATGCATCTTTGTGCTGAAGGGGGGGTGGGAGGGTGCCTCTGCCAGGTTATGCAACATAAGGTGGCCTTGGGAGCTGGGGTCTGGTGCATTTACGTCACCCGGGGGTTATTTTCGAGATTCAAGCAAAATGCCTGCTTGGACCCAGCGTTGCCTCCGACAGGTCACGAAACCTCTCCATTATCATTGTATCGCTTGACATGTGAAGATTTGTTAAGTAAAAATGACCCGATATAGATTATTCTCCCGCACGAATGCACATTCAGTACGACACTCGAGGCTTGCAACACTGGATCGGTTGAATCTGCCTCCCTCCCCCTCCCTCCCCACCTGACCGTGACCTTGGATGACCGCCTAGCTCCGGCCCGCACTGAATTCGTCATCACGATGGAGCGGCGAGTCATGGCTCAAGAGCTTATTTGCTGGCTTGCCCATTTTTGTTTCACGCACTCTCAATCTCTCTCTCTCTCTCTCTCTCTCTCTCTCTCTCTCTCTCTCTCTCTCTCTCTCTCTCTCTCTCTCTCTCTCTCTCTCTCTCTCTCTCTCTCTCTCTCTCTCTCTCTCTCTCTCTCTCTTAGACAAATCCATGATTGATAGCAATCACGTTTACATCCATGAGTCTAACATGTGACAAGACCCTGACGTATCCAACAGTACCGAGCCTTTGCCAGCGCGGGCTCCCTTATCACTGCTATCAGTATCTCGCCGCGGCTTCCTGAAGATAGCGGGGCGTGAACTTGAACTCGCCTGACCTTGAGCCTGGTGCGTGATAGCGCCGTGGAAGCCAGTGGCGTCGTTACCTGTTTTTTATGTGTCGAGAGATTTTATTATGGTTCAGTTGCAAAGAGCAAAGTCCCATTAATACTGGCGTGGACGGAATTACATGCCTATCCCTGTCCTCCTCCTTAACCCTCCCCGTCTATCCCTATCCTCAGAGTATCCTGTTACCCGAGGATCTGTGTACGTGATACGGGTTTCCTGAGGAGTGTCTGGGCTATACTTTGCGAGGACATGGGAACATCCTGAGCGCCTTGTCGAGGGCGTGTGAGTGTTTTGTGGTCTCCTGCATCCTCTTCCCCGCTCCGCTACGCTTCCCCTCCTTCCCCCTCCCCTCTGCGTTCCCACCGACACATACACATCCGGCCCACACCCTACATTCTGATATCCTGTGCCTGTGCATCCTCCCTCTTGATGTCTATCCTATGTGCTGAAGACTCGCTGTGTGATTCCTCTCTCCCCTTGTCGCCTAACTTCGCCTAAGATAAATGCTAAAATATTTAATCTGCTGTTAAGATACTTACCAGAGTGGGCGGGCACTGTGTGTAGCTGGGGTGTGTGCGAGCTTGCTGGTGCATGGGCGCCACCTTGTCCCTGGTGAAGTCACAGGTGTCCATGTGGGCGCGGATGATGGCGGCGGTGACGCGGGTGTCATCCTCCAGCTCTGCCAAGACGGCCCTCTCCTGGGACTTGGCGTTGACGCTCTGCATGGCGGCCAGGATCTTGGCCTTCTCGCGCTTAGGCACACGCCCGAAGCGCACAGCTGTGGGGGAGAAGAGGAGCGTGTTAGCGGGAGTCCGTCACTGGCACGGAAGACAGCCTATCATTTCGCGGGTTATTTTCAACCCTTGCTCTGATGTCTATAACACTAGATTTAGATCAAAATAAAAATGATGATTGCATGGAGTGATGATGAGAATGAGGATGATACGATTTCGAGTGTCAATCACCGAGGCCGCGAGAGCTGAAGCCCTACGAGCATGTAGGCCAAACGAGGGGACGCCGCGTTCGCTTCTTTCCAAGTTACTCTCATTGAAACAAGTTCTCAAAAATGAGGGAAAATGACAAACTAACTTAAAATTGGCATCGATATTCACTGACAGGCAGCACATCCCTACATGAGGCAAGGAAGGGCGCGGACCTTCGGCTCACTCGCTCGCAGCCTCCCCTCGGACGCTCGGCCGACGACCCTCGGCACATGGCGGTACACGTGGCGCCGACCTCTACCTCATTTAACTCTTTCATTTTCTCTAAAATCATAATCATATAATCCAACTGTTCAAAATTTTAAAGTGGAAAGTTCAATTATTTATGTTCGGTAATTCCATTTATTAGCTCCAATTACATCTGATCACCGATTGAAATCAATGTTAAAATAACCGAAGTTTTCAAATGAATTTCCGTATCGCGAAACCGTTAAACCGAACAGAAAAAACGAAGCGAAATAATCGCCTCTATGTACAAGCGTAGAAGCAGGCTGTGTCACGTTTCCCCGGCACGAGATGAACGAACACCTGCCTTATTGATCTCTCGAAATTTCCCCCACTCACGGATGCAGAGTCCCCTACGGTGTGGGTCACTCGCCGAGGTTATTGCACTGCGCCGCTCAAAACCTCCAATAATCGTTACTTGATGTTTCTTAAGTTTTCAATTTTTCTTCAGAAGGGTCACGTGTCCTCCTCGAAGCAAGCAAGACCCCAAGCAGCCCTCCCTTACTCGCTTCCCCTCATCTCCAAGCACGAGGTAGTGTGACACTTACTCATATAGTGTGGCGCCACTCCATGCTGTAGAAGTCCTTTAAGTATGGGTAAATCCTCTTCAGGCATTTTCATTTGTGTTGGATTGTGGTAACGGAGTGTAAATCCACGGGGCTGTTACACCACCCTCGGTTACTAGTCGTGACTAATACAATGTCACACTAGTAACAATCATTCGATCACTGTAAGTAAGAATCACATCCAAGGCACAGGATCTCCGCTAATGTGTGGCTATCACAAAGCACAAGTAACACCAGCTGTAGTATTATATCCACGTAGTAATGTAGTGCGCGGTGTGTAAGTAAGTAAGGTGTGGAGTAACACGCGATCCACCACCCGTCTCGTAGCTCGTTCAGTGAGCGACTGAGAGAGTATGTGTGTACGAGGCAGGTCGAGGCGGCAGCTCTCCGTGGTCCGCCAGCCGACATCGCTCCGCCGACACCAACACCCGCGCACACGACTTTCACCCGCCCGGCACCACCCAGACGCGCTCACTCTTACTTAAACTACCGTCGCTTTCATTGTCATTATCGACTGCATGACATATTCGCTGCACTCGACACTTTCTACAATTCTTACTGCTCCCCCTGGTGGCGAAATCGCGCTCGAAATCTGCATGGCGGCTGTGGAAAGGCAATCCCACGTATAGAATAAAACCCCGCTCAGCCTTGAAGCCATAAGGTTGAAATTCCGGGTGCAACGTAAGCTGCACGCGTCTGCCTTGGATGCGGCCTTACTGATGGTCACCTTCAGATCTACGCCGTCCTCACAGCCACAACTCCGGAAATGGGAAGTAGAAGTAGATAGATGCAGGTATATGTTACTTCCGCATAGGCCCGTCGGATGCCCTACGTGACAGTTAGTGAGGGCGCGGTGAGCATTCGAGGAAGGGGGAGGGGGGGGGATAATCTGTGACACACGTGGCAGAGAGGTAGTAGTGTGGGGCGAGAGGCACGTGCTCTACACACCCATTGTTGTCGGAGCCAGGTCGGAGAGCTACCTCAAACCATTCTAAATCTTGCGTCTATACAAAGTAGCATACGTGTACGCGTGTTCTTCGTACGCCTTTGTGATAGCACACACGCTATGCATTCCGGAGTCTTCCTCATGCTATCATTCCCTGGCTAACTCGCTGTTTGCCCCCCTTCCCTCCTTGCTCCCCTCGGCTCTCCTCTCGTGCTCCCCTCGCCGCCTTTCCACCCTGCTTTTACCGCTCCCTCTTA